TCGTTGAAATATGCTGCCTGAAACTTTTTGCAATTACAATACTTCCTTTTTACATCGTACAATGAAGTAAAAATAAGCTTTAGTTTTTTCTTTGATGCAGGAAATTATCTAGTAGTTCTTCCAAAGTATACTATGGAAAATCAAGTAATTTTCAAGTTCATGTCATTTGTGACACTGAAAATCGTCGAGTTATTTTGAAGAACAAGCCCACTTTGTCTGCACACATTGGAGCAGAAAAGTAATTTGTGAGTGGGACTCATTCATTATCATTTAGACAGAAATTTGTAATGCGAGCTATTGGTTTGTTGGCAGAGTGGAATGTGAGCTGTGCTTCAAAATCTCTGCTCACTTTAAAAACTAAACATTTTTAACTGCAAAAGGGTTAATAAATTTTTTCTAATCAATGGGAATTTAATTACGCTGATCAATAGCTTCTGCATATTTGGCTGTTGACTCTCATTCGTCATCAGTGCATTCGGCATTCATTAAAACTTCATCAATCCCCAGGGGGCCCATACTGACCCTATTAGGAACCACAGATCTGTACTTTCATTTCATCTGAAAATTAAGTAAAATAAATTTTTGTGATACTTATGTGTTAATGAAGAATGATGGGCTAATTTTAGCTGTAAATTGATACAATAAATTTTTCTTCGGTAGAAAATTTTCGGCAATGGCTTCTTTATGAACTCTGGGAATGGGAATCCATATAATTAAATTCATGGTTCACTTTGAAAAGCTGAAGATCTGTATTTTAAAATTCTCTTTCAAGTCAAAATAAATTATCGTTCCTTTTTTGATGTTTGCATTGATTGCATTTAGGAAAGGCCTGGACTTTTTAGTCGGACACCATAATGAAAGAGGTTTCTTTAGTTTCCCAGCAGATGTCACCGAAAATCCATTGAGGTGGCAGAACTTGGCTGACACTTTTTTCTTTGCGAAATTAGGCTTTCATCACTGTCTACAATTGAGCATTCACAAGCCTTTTTTTTTTCCCCCATGGTTTTGCATCTCATAGTTGCTCTGTAACAGTAGTATCAGCCATGTTGAGTTCTTCCATGCAATATTTAACATCATCATTTCTTCAGACTAGTAATAGATGAATATGATGGCAGCCTGCTTGCTACAAACTAGTTGCCGACTCGCATTACCACTGATTTCGTGTCTTTCAAACATTGCCGTGCACTCTTTGGTTCACTTGAATAAAACTTCATTTCATACAAATTAGAACATTGATGGTACTCAGCAATATATTGTTGTATTTTTCTGTATAATGTAGCATGAAAATCTAGAGAGACAATGCTCTGCTGGAAAAATAAGAATACAAGGGCAAGTCTACTTAACATTGAGCAAATGGCTATCTTGCCGCAATGATATTGGCGACTAATTGTGTCGCCAAATTTGGCGAGAAACCACCACAAGTCATCACACTTAATGACATTTTGGGACAGTCCATGTATCACTCTAATAGGTATTGTAATTGAATAACTGTAATTGATTTCATATGCAAGCGTAACCATACCCGGCCCTCTTGTGCTTTTCAGTAATTTCAAGAAGTACTGGACATTTCTTGGTGACTGGATGAAAACTAAATAAGACTGGAGAGAGCATCTGCTCTCAAGTGTTGTTAGTTGAGTGCGAGTTCAGGGTACTGAGATATCTCTGGGATAGTTTCACTGTTCAGATGCGTTTTGCATTGCGTTGTGTTCATAGTACTGAGATACCTCTGACTTAGCTTTGCTCTTCAGATGCATTTTGCATTGCATTGTATTAATGTTCTTAGTAGTTTGAAGTGCAATTACTGATTGTACTGTGTGATACTGTGAACAGCTGTACAAGTATTTGTGTGGAAAGTTCCAGAACTCTAAAGTTTTTCTTTTAATAAAATGAATTTTATCAACCTGTCATCAGACCTGCATGCATTTAATCTGTTATAAATTTGTATGTGTATTATACTTTTGTGGGAAACTAATAGTTTCGTGCTGTTTGTTTTGTAGATCTCATAGACCCATGATTGAATTATAAACTCCAGAAAAAAAAAAAAAAAAATGTGTTCCGTAAACTGCAGCTTTGTAGGCATTCTTAAATCCTGCCAACACTGTATGGTTGCAGCAACAACTAATTTGTGTTGTAGTGTCAAAATTGACTACTGCTTGCTTTTTTGGTGAATTTTGGTTTTTTCCACTTTTACAGCCTACCAGCAGCCGAGCGGTAAAGTCGCTGAACACTGGTAGTTCGGTCCAAGGTTCGAATTCCGTGAACGGGCTGGCTGCATGGGCGATTTCGTGGTTTTCCCCATGTGTAACGTGTATACCAAGGTTCTTTAATATACTAAGGTTAGGCCAGGAACGGAAAAAGCGTGCCATTGGTTGCTGGTAGTGACGTCACCCGGGAGACAAGACGCATCAGCCGACGCGTCTGCTACATGATTTTGGTAATGGAAAAAATGTAAACTAAAGCAAAATGATCATTTTATATGTGGTAGATACACCGGAAATACCGGGTATATACTTTCCGATTAAGTATTTTGTTAAAGAAAATGTTTATTTTATGCACAGAATTCGTACGAATGCTGAAAATAATTGTAAACATTAAATTCTTTTCGTAAAGGAAAGCATTAGAAAATGAAAAACGATATTTAAGTTAATTAAGGGAAATAAATATTGTAAAACAAGGTATTTTTCAATATTTTTTCGTAGTATTGTTTGCACTAAATAAATCTTGTTGAACAGAACACATGATGGCATAACTGCTAAGACCATGGTAAAAACATAATCAAAAAGTATTATTCTATTTATTTTCATTGCTCATGCACTTTTTTTAATACAAATGAACTTTGACATTCCATGAGAAATATATGATCGTGATTTTCAGTTTAAATTACATATCTCAAGCAAAAATATATATAAAAAGATTTGACTTAACAAATTCATATTTAAATACCATAAAATTCTACAAATTTCTTAATATCCGTCATTATACTTTTAAATAGTATACTTATCACATTCTTTTTAAAGTGAAAAGTCACTTCATACTGATTCACTTCAGATTTTAGCAGAAGTGCGTATATTTTCAGTATAATCTAAAAGTACTCTTATAATCCCTTACACTCCCAAGATTTCTATATAACATTTATCCTGACGTGATTATTTGCTATAGTAAATAATCTTCGATATTGGCATCCTATTCTTCCTTCCATACATTAAAAATGGAACAATTAAAATACATTTTCTTACACATATACGCACAATAATAATAATAAAACTTGCCCTACATCTTAGTTTCGGCCCACCAGCGGCCGAGCGGTAAAGTCGCTGAACACTGGTAGTTCGGTCCGAATCCCGCGAACGGGCTGGCTGCATGGGTGTTTTCGTGGTTTTCCTCATGCGTAACGTGTATACGAGCCAGTTTCCCTGAGAAAGTCCTCCACGAAGGCATCACACCTATTACGCAGATAGCCCTAGTGTGCTTTGCCATAATTAAATACACCACCACATCTTAATTTCAATTCAGCCTGTACACAAATTAAATATTTTTAATTACTAATGTATTTTTATCAGGTTGTTTTCTTAAAATACTTTTGTTATACTCGAAATATGTGTTCAATATTGAATTATTTTTCTTTCTCTTATAATTAAAAACAAGTTATATGGAATCAAAATTAAAACATATGCAGCAGTTAAATAACACTGAACAGAATATCTTACTTACTCTTTCGCTATTTGTATTCTAGCATTATATACACAGATTTGTTTTCCTTCAGGTTCAAGCATGTGTAAGTTATATATCAATTAAATTACATCACACATACCTGTATGCATCAGTTAAATAACACTGAAGGAAATATGTCACTCACTCATTCGATGTTTGCATCATAGTGTGGTCGAGAAATTGTTCTTTCCTCACGGTGAGGCATGTATCAGTTTACTTAGTTCGCAAAGCTTAACCCAGACGCTGCTTCAATACATAGAATTACGTTTGGGATGTAAAGAAAGTAACCAAAACATGTGAATGAAGTTGGATACGCGAATTTATTAACTAATCATTCAGGTACTCAGTATTGGTAAACATGACACTGAGTTTAAATATCTCACTACGATGTAAGTCTCATACACAAAATGAAGATTATGATAAAAAATGATTTAAAATGAGAAATTTTTCAATTTAAATGTAAAATAGCAGTAAAATGAAAAATAAATGTAAAATTACATCACAGTTATGTATGAAAACTACATAAATTCATTAAAAAAATAGTTATTTTATCTGGTTGTAAAGAGTGTTTTCCGCCAAAAAACGTATTAACGTGTATAATTCTGACACAACGCTACGCTATAGCACAATTTGCCACTTCCGCCTAGGTATAATAGCAAATTAACAACACAAATCAAATCAAACTGTTGATGCAACGAAAGTAAACAAACGCCAAGAACTAACGCTGTCACCCACATGACGTCATGCGTATGTGGCATAACTTTCTCCCTGCACTGCGCATCGCTCTTGGGCCCCCCCTGGTGTATACGAGCCAGTTTTTCTTAAAATCCTCCACGAAGGCATCCCTCCCCTTAGGCAGATAGCCCTAGTGTGCTTTGCCATAATTAAATAAACCAAACCCACTTTTACATCTAAGTACCATTTTTATAACATTGTTAAATACTAAATAGTGTCTTGTAGAAAAACATAAAATTTTTCAGTTACCATATTTAATTTGATGCAGAAACAAAAAATGATTGTATTATGTTTGTTGTTACAAGGGGAATTAAAAGTTAAATTTTAATAGGAATCCCATATTATTTATAATAGTTTTCTTGCCAATAATTTTCATCTAGTCATTTCATTTTATTTTTTGAGAAACATAATTCGTAAAAAGCAAAATACACTAACATTTATTTTTCTGGTAGGAACATTTTTATGCATTTTTTTATCAAATTATCCATTTAATTTTTTTTTTCATATATAAGAATGAATACTTTTAATTGTATTTACTCATTGATTTGTTTTAGGTTTTCATAGAAGTATTGCCAACCAGTCAGAATCGGCCATGCCCCGTCGAAACGTAATACATGTGCACTTTGTGAACCGCCCTTTTAGAAATAATCTCAGCAATAACAATCAACAAAATCCTATAATCTATATGAGGGATAATTTATTCCATGAACTATTCATCCGATTTGCATTGTTTTATGGCCGAATATTTTCCCAGACTGAGATGAAGATCATCGAAATGATATTTTTGACTATGGTATGTGTGATATTATTATTATTATTTAGAACTGACTGTGATATGTGTTATATTATTATTGTTTAGGTATTATTGTTTGTTCCAAAGTACTCATATTAAATTGGAAATTTTGCCACAATACTTGCCACTTATTAAAATCACCTGTGTATGAGGTGTGACACACACACGCACAAAAAAAAAAAAAAAAAAAAAAAAAGAGACTTAAGTGTGGAGCTTAAAAACAGTGTGTTGGCAACAACTGTTTTGGTGACATCAAGCCACACACCCCTCTATCCATGTGGCCAGTTTCGGCTTAACCGACCATGCCAGTTGGGGGTGCTGTATCATTGAGTGAACATGTGCACTGCATTGTGCCAGAAAAATGTCTAATGGGAAAAACCGAACAGCAAATCAACATCTTGTTTCATCAAGTTTCTTGTGAAACTTAAGAAATTAGTCACAGAGGAAACATTTCAAATGTTAAGCAAGGCTTGTGGAGATGAAACTTTTTCTCTTGCACATGTGTTTGAATGGCATAAGTGGTTTTTAGGGAAAAGGGATAGTGTGGAAGATGATAAATGTGCTGCTGGTCGCCCCTTTGGACGCCCAGCACGTACATCATGATTGAATGGGTTTCTAGTGGTCAGACTGTTAATCAACACTACTATGTTGAAGTACTAAAAAGACTTCGTGAAAAAATTAGGAAATAAAAGGCCACAATTGTGGAAGGATGGATGGCAGTTGCACTAGGACAGTGCACCTGCTCACGTGGCCCTATCTGTCAAGCAGTTTCTGACCAGTAGAAACATTACTGTGATAGGACATCCTCCTTATTCACCTGATTTGGCTCCATGCGATTTTTTTTATTTATTTCCTAAAGTTAAATCTTACTTAAGGGGAACCCATTTTACGTCAGCTGAAGAGGTTCAGGCAAAAATGGAGAATCTCCTGAAAGACATTTTATGTTTCATTGCTGTCCCTGTAAAACTTCTTTTATCCAATTACCAGCTGCACGATGATTCGCTTCTTCCTTCTTACCATGTGCCAATTGTGTTTTAGCAAATTAGCAAATTTTAGCAAATTTCCTTGTGTTTAGCAAATTAGTGAAAAAGGCTCTAGGAATACTAATATCTTTTAGCTTTATAGTTTGAAACCATTCTAAGAAAAGCAGTGATTTTTTGCTTTTCCTTGAGACATTTGCATTGTTTCATTAGCTTTGCATAATGCTGTTTGGGAAATTCTTTCTTTAAATGTAGTTTTTCTCTGGTTGCAATTACCAAGAACACTAAATTTTTTTAAAAACCTATCCTTTTCTTTCGGGTTTAAAAGTTTTTGCGGGACATTTTGACGTGTTACAAGTTAAGCACTTCTTCCAGTGATTTTTTCCAATTTAAAATTACTTTTCTAGCTAGCAAATAGACCACCTCATGATAGCATGATCAATGCTTTCCTTGCTTTTTCTTTAGTCTCATTCTTAGTGCATATGAAAATTTCATGAAAACTTTCTAATAACTTCTTGTGACCGTAAAATATCTATCCCAAAGGAAAGATTTGGAATGCAGAAACCTTAAAAGATAGTGTGCAAAAGTTGCATTTCTACCTCTTACCAGCTGGTATTCAAGAAGGAACTCTTCCCCATTCATAATGTCTGTAAATGACTGTTTTTGTAAACCCTAAGGTAAGGAAAGTCTGCCCCTCTGAAGTCCTGTGGGGACAAAAAAGTTTGAGAACAATTTTTCAAAGGTATAGGGACTGGGGGATATGAAAATTTTGGTTAAATATGTTTCATTGGAGCTCTACATATTTGAACGATAAACTGCAGTCGTTAAATGGATGAGCTACAAAAAACTTTGATAGATACAAGTAGGATATTTTGGCATTGAGAATCAGTCTTTTGGTAGTTGGAAGTTTAATAAATAGCAGTTTTTGGATTCATAAATATTCATTTGTTTTGGTTCCTGGAAATTTGAACATAATAAGTTGCTGAGTTTATTAAACAGTGAGTTTAATAAGTGACAAGTCCTGTATAATCATTTTAATTAATCCAGCTAGTATTATTTTATCCAAATACCAGCTGCATGATAATTCGCTTTTTCTTTCTTACCATGTGCCAGTTGATATAAAATACTTTACATGGGCATAACCAGCTCATATGGGGGGGGGGTGTGCCCACTATGACTCCTATGGCTATACTGTTCTTCTACCTATTACAGTAACTTCAAGTATATGTGTAATTATTACGTGACAAATATATTATGTTAATGACAGTTAACATAAATCATAATTATATTACAAATTTTATTAATAATAAAATTATGTAATGTAATTATGGATGTAATGTATTTACTTATTGTATTTATCATTATTACCTTACAAACGTATTAAATGCATAACTCAGTATTTTGGTTTTTCACCTTAACCACTTTAAACTTCATGCGTTAATGCCAAAGAACTGCGCTCTTCAGTCATAGTATCTCGATTATAATTTTGTAACCTTTTCAAAGTATTTACGGAACGTTCACATTCGCAAGATGTTATCGACAGTGTAGCTGCTCTGGGCAAAAGCACATAAATATTTGGGAAAAAGTTTTTATTCGAAGCTTTTATAGCCAAAGCTGGTGTGTCTGGGAGCTTTGCTTTGGGAATAGACATAAAATGCCATCGCCAACATTTCATCTCTTTTCTTTTAGAAGTGTTGCGGATAGGATAAACATCTTTATATGTCAACTTCAACTCACTGACAGCAATTTCATTTACATGTTCAATGCAAACTGATGGTAGTATGCAAAACAAGGACAATTCAGTCTTTTTTCCAAATTTGAAAATTAAGATTTTGAAAGCTGGTCAAGTTAAAGGATTGTTAAAATATAGTCTTGTAGTAATTAAACACAGAATCAAAATAAGCATTATTTCAATAGACTTGCTTTCGAATGATGCGTGGTATTTTAAGCTCTACATGTAATCTTTCACACATTTCCACAGCATGGTCAAAAATATTCTCAAAACTCTTTTCTACATTTTCACGCCGCCGCCCGGACAGTAAAGTGGTTAGAAGAACCGACTGCGATAACAAAAGGCCCGAATTCAAATCCCAGGAGAAGGCATGGTTGTAACACTCCGTCCCTTCATAGGCGGCAAAGATGGCCTACCTATTAGGTTCCTCCATAATAAAGTGACCACTGCTTCTGGTCTTAGTAGTGGCCAAGCCGAAGTCGGCTAAGATCACGCCAGTGGGGGGGAGAGTCACGCTCAGAAATATAAAACTCAGTTATTTCCCGAACCATTGTATGGGCTTCCATGATATCAAAAGCTCTTCTAAGTGAGATACATAATGTGTTAAGAATGTTACAATGAAAGCAGATTAAATGATTGAATTCAGCAGAACCATAGCGTCTTGTTTACATTTCGTACTTCATTGCTTATGGAGTACACAATGTGTTTTAGAGCTTCAATGATATCGAAAAAGCTTTGATAAAAATGCTAGTGCGCCCTATGCCGCATGGCTCATCTTGTCCGGCAAAGGTCTAATAATATTTTTTGTCGACGTAAATCATGATGCATTCTGATTGACAGTTTGACTAAGAATATCAAGACTGTTTAAAAAAAAATTCAATTGGTTCAGCATATTGTGAATTTCTTTGCATGAGTGTATGATTACGAAATTCAGGCAATGAGAAGTGCGATGCACATGGATTGCTTTTGGAGCGAAAGCTTTAATCCAAATATTGAACTCTAACTTTTTTGATGGCATGTTACCTGCTCCATCATAACTTTGATCTCTAATGTTGCTAGCATCTAACCCGAATTTTGAAATTATTGAAATTATAAAGGATGAAATAAATTCTCCTGCAATCTTACCTAGGATAAAGAAATTCTAAGACTATTCTATGATATTGTTTTGACTTTCGACAATCTTGTACACAATGATAAAGTTTCCACATTATTTGAAGTGACTTTGTAGAGACATTAGGATTTTTTTGGAAGCAAGAGAAGTGAAAAATGAGTAACGCCTTCGCCGGGAACCGACCCATGAACCTCTAGAATATGTGTCCAGCGTGGAGATCACCACACCAAGATGACACGCTAATAAGGCGGGAGAAATAACTTATATACTCCATCTTTTAAAGGGCGACTGGAGTCTTTAGGGGACACCCAGCGAAATCCTGAGTGTGGAGAATCATCACCCCCACCCTTTTTGTTCGGGCACCACTCTAGAGACATTAGGATTTTTTTTTGGAAGCAAGAGAAGTAAAAATTAGCAACGCCTTCGACGGAATCGAACCGCGGACCTCTGGAATATGCGCCCAGCGTGCAGACCACCACACCAAGAAGGCGGGAGAAATACCTTCATCAGCTATAATGGAATAAAATTTTTGACGAAGGTCTTTAAAAATATAGAATCAATTCTTGACAAAAATATGAGTGTAAAAGTTTAGGTTATTCTAGATGATTACGGTAAAGGCATTTTCTCAGGGTTAACTGCCTAAGGAATAGGATGCCTTCGTGGAGGATTCTCTAATAGTAACTGGATCGTATTCACGTTATACATGGAGAAAACTGAGAAAAACCCATGCCTCAGCCATTCAGATCCTCGTAATTTCAACCCCGATGAAAATAACTAGTGTTCAGCAATTTTATTCATGAGCGTAAAATCATTCATAATGAAATTCACGACGTGTGAAGCTTGAAACTCTGTTTTGTTGAGTGATACAAAAGTAAAATGTGGGGAAAACTGAAGTTACATGTTTTACATAAATAAATCGTTAATTTTTAATTTTTAAGGAAGCATCTCCTGCACTTTCCGAACTACATAATGTGTTTGAAAAACAAATATTTATTTTTTTTCGTAATTTCTTTTGCATTATTAATTGATGGAATGTTCTCGACTTGTTTTGCTTTTATTTAAATACATTATATAGTGTTTTCGATTTAGTAATTAAACAAAATCCCATTTAAAAGCCTACTTAACATGAAAAATAATTCGATAATTTCAGATTCTTTGGAATTTTGAATTTCTAGCTAATACGTTTTCTGTACTATTTTAAAATTTCAGAAATCTCTTTCATGTATGTTTTAAAATATTTCACATAATACAATTATAATACATCTAAAACCAGAGTACTTAAATTATTAATCTTAATCATAATTCTCGAAAAGATTGTAATTATTTCATTTAGAAAGTATGATGCATAATGAAATAATTGCATAATGATGTAC